GTATCTCTCCTCAAGCGATGTTCAATAACCCTCTCCCACAGCTTCATAGTATGACTCATTAGCTTAATGCCTCTATAGTTTGAACAATTCTGTATATCTCCCTTGTTTTTGTAGATAGGCACAATCATACTTTTCCTCCATACATCAGGCATCTTATTCGTCTGGAGAATCTTATTAAAAAGATTGGTCAACCATTTTATTGCCACATCCCCCAGGCCTCTCCACACTTCAATAGGGACACCATCAGGCCCCAAGGCTTTATTAGTCTTCATCCTCTTTAAAGCCTCCTTAACTTCATGTGTATTAATTCTGCGTACAAATCTTCTATTCATATCATCATACGCGTCCTCTAAGTCCACATCGCTTGTATTTCCATCCCCATTAAACAGCTTGTTGAAGTATTTCAACCATCTTTCATTTACATCTTAAAAAATATTTTTGGAAAATTAACTAAAATAAACATGCAGAAAATTTTCAGTACTGTGACAACCAAAGACAACAATTAACGAGGAACGAGGATTGCAGTAGCAAACCGGGTGTATGAATGGACCGGGCCAAACACAATCTAGGCCAGTGTTGTAAAACCCGACCAGACCCGGCCGGGTCGACCCGGGACCCGGCGACCCGGTCATCAGACCGGTTCGGGTCAAGCATTGAACCACTCAAGCATAGACCCGGACAAACTCGGTCAAAACTCGGACAAAACCGGCCAAACTCGGTGACCCAGTGACCCGAACGGGTCATGATTTAAATAAAAGAAAACAAATAATCAAAATTATTTCATCTTGTCAGAAAAATGTAGAACTCATTTTAAATTATTTTTGTAATTTTATTTGCTAATATAACAATGACCTCCAACTAGGGGTGTAAATGGGCTGGGCTGGGCTGGGCCGGGCTTTGGCCTTCGTGGCCCAAGTCTACGTCAAAAAAAATTCAGCCTATCTGGCCTACTAAAGGCTTTATTTGTAGGCCAAGCCCGACCTATTTTTTAAAATAAGAAAGCCTGACATGGCCTACAGGCCTTGTAGGCTTCCCACTGTAGATACTAAGCAAAAAAAATAATTGTATAGAGCAAAGAAAGTTTCATTCATGCATGCGCTAGTACTTCTCATAAGAAAAAAATGACAAACAAGAAAGAGTCAACATAATACCCCAGCTCTAGAATGTATATCATAGAGGAATAGAGTCAAAGAAATGGGAAAAATAAGAAAAATACAATTACTGGATGCTGAAATAAAGTCTACAAGAGAATATCATTCATCTAAAAATCTTTAAACCACCATCAAGACAAGGGAAAGAAGAGTATTATTGAAAGATCTTCATCAGTAACATCATAATCCAGCAAGGTACCCATTGCTCCATGGTATTAAGCTGCAACAGCATGTAAGATTTGGAGACATTAGACAAGTTTTCCTTTCATAAAATAAAATAGCAGAAAAAGTAAGAGATATTGGTATTTGGTACTTTGCGTCTTTGCCACATAAAATAAATATTATTTTATTATTTTATTTTAATAAATTAAATAGGCCAGCCTAGGAGGCTGTAGGTCGGGCTTGACAAAATTGGCCTATGGCCTATTTGTTAAAAAAGCTTTTTTATAAGCCTAAGCCTACTCTACTTTTCTGAAAGGCCGGGCCTGGCCGGGCTCAATGTAGGCCGGGTCGTAGGCTGGGCTGGGCCAGCCTGACCCATTTACACCCCTACCTCCAATTTCAACTTCCAATACTGAAGCAATTTGCGGAATAATAAATTAAGAGATTATGACATATGTCGTTTTTAATGTAATTGAATTTGAAAAATATGAGTTCAATGTCATTGAGAGGTATGTTTATAGGGATTCTGAGTTGTAATTTAAATTGACATAGAAATAGTATACATTTTTTTTTATGCTTCATATTTTTCAGCTTATTTAATGAAGCTTGTTTAATTTATTTTAGATATGAAGAATATAATTGAATTTATATGTTCATATTTATATATATTTTTATATATCTATATAGATCCGGGTCAACCGGTCCGACCAGTGACCCAATGACCCAGTACCCCGACCGGGTCGATGCCCGGACCGGGTTTAATAACACTGATCTAGGCCCTTTTTATTACGACACCATGATCTGGTGTCACATCACATATAAAGTTGTGGCTTTCACATATTTTCCATAAATTAAAGAGCTCGTTTGTTGGTCAAATAAAGATTCCAAGATAGGATAGGGTATAATATCCTCGTTGGGTGAATTAATAAAATATAAGTTTATCGCGTTGGTTTATTTTATCATATTTGCATCAGGATAAGCTATTTTAAGAGAGGACTTAGGTATACTATATATGATAGCAAATATCACATCTCTCTTATTCTAAATATAGTCATGTACTCTTCTTCTATGAACTTTGTTAAGCATGTGAAGGTCAACACTTATCACCAACTAACCAACGTTGTCGACATCAGCCATCAGCCATCTCTATATCACTCATTACTACCACGTACCACCATCATTGCCAATGGCCATTACCATGAGCTACCACCCCTGGTAACCACCATTGCCACCACTATCACCACTCTATCGCCATCCCTGGTCACCACCACCATCACCCCAAGCACCAACCATCACTACCACCATCATTAGTCAACCATAACAATTATCAGTGGTCACCATGGGTGCCACCATCACCATCACTTCCATCAACCATTGAACTTGTAAGTTGGCTTTTACACAGCTGTGACATTTGAAATCTTATTTTTTAAACCACCATCATATTGCGTCATTGCGGCCACTGCCATCACCACCAATCAGTCACCACCTTAGGCTACTGTTACCCCCAATCACTAGGCACCAACAATCACCACCACCATTGGCCACCACTGTCACCGCCATCATTTAGCCACCACAATTGTCATCGGACATTGCCGACACCATCGCCACCACCCATTATCACTAGCCCCTACAATCACCATTACTTCAACCGGCCAACCAGTGCACCAGCCACCATCACCGCTAGCCACCCTGTCACTAAGCACGACCACCAATATTGATAATCAATTTAAAACCTATTTTTTAGAAATTTATCTGGTGAAAATTTAATATTTTTGTTTCAAAAATTTTTGTAATCTATTTATATATTTTAATATATTTTATTTAAATTAGAGACTTTAAATTTTTTTTAATAATTTAAGATAAGAACTAATGTGTAAATAAGTTAAAAAAATTAGTTTAAAAATAAATTTTAAAAAATATATGAAATTTTCAAAAAATGATATTTTTGTACAATATCTTAACATTATATGATTCGCTTCGAATACTTGATATGATAAGATTATTTTATCAGACATCTTACTTAGTGCACATCAAATAATACAAGTTTATCGTGCTCATATCATTTTCTATTATTATTTAACTCTCTTATCCTATTTATTCCTATCCTATTCTATATATCCACTAAACAGGCCTAATTAATTTCCGTGAAGATAGAGTATATTTTCTTTTAATATCAAGTTTTTTGTCTGCAAAATATTATAAAATCACTTTTAAAAAGAGAAAACATTCATGCTCGATTGAATATAAATTTGCAAGAAAAATATGAATGTAACACTTAGCGCAGGGAACTATATAATAACTGAAAAAATTGTTTTCCCTCGTGTGAGTGTGATCAGTACTTGCTCTTGCATTTTTCTTTCTTAGTTCCATAACCTCATTTTCAAGCTCTCAATCTGTGAGACTATCAAGTACGTGGCGGAATGTGAATGATTGTGTTTATTATATACAGGATGGGAGCCTAGAATTGTAAGATAAGATTTAAAATGTAACATAGCATGGGAGATAACGTTTCTAAGGTTGAGCTTCGCAGACAATTTATCTCACTCAAATCATGCACTACTAACTCAATGAGATAGAATGAAAGACCTCCGAGTCTCCACTCACCATTTGTCTTCGCTTCTAGTATGATATCGTGGGGCCTATTGCACAATTGGACCACCACTTTTTTTTTATTGATTTTTTTAATATATTATGAATTGATTAATCAATTACTCAAATAATTCGATTTGAGTCGAATAAGATGATATCAGTGACAAAAATCTGCCTACACAAATTTTAGCACAGTTACATTTCTGTGGACTCGACTCCAAACATTAATTAAACTTGAACAATTCCTTATTAATTCATTTACATGCTTGATAATTTTTCATTGAAATTCATAAAAGGTTTAATTCATTTGCATTTATAATGTTGTTCTTTCTTTCAATTTCCATTATTTGTGCTAGAGTTTCTCCCTCATATATATATTTTCTTTTTCAATGCAATTTTTTTTTTTTGTCACTAACATAAAAGTGAGTGATTCTATTGTAAAGAGATAAGATAGAAAAGATTACTGAGATCCACTCACTTTTATGTAAATGTTTCGAATAATAATAAAAACAATTGAACATTAGTATAGCTCTGTACGACAATATTTTTAATAGAGGTAGGACATTTATATTATCATTTTTTTTTCTATTACCAATTCACTACCATTTTAATATTATAAGTATGGAAAAATATACTCTTATGTTGTAGGAGAGTATTTTTTTCTCCTACACATACATCGATTTTCGTGTTGCTTCTTTGCTTCTTTTTTTTTTTTATAAGTCTCACACATGATTATCTCTATAGCATAAAAGAGCTTCTCCCCTTTTGCACGATATTAATAAAGCCCTATAAGTATATCACGGAATATAGCGGATGATAAATGGTAGTGGAAAAATGATAGAAGAATGAATATTCCCCTCTAAATAAAGTTCGAATAACTTTTTAAATGAAAATAGTTGGAAGTTCCTTTATGTACATATTTTTTGTTCTGGCCTTTCTCTATCAATGGCAAAATTACTCGTGATCGTTTTCTATCTTGATTGTTACACGTGCTTATCTTACATCATTTAATACGTTAAAGGCCACGAAAAAGAGGATTGTACTGCATTCAAGCTCAATCGCTTATCCTTAATGCATTGATCAATGGCCACTAAACATTGAAGAGTACGAACACAATGAAACCGATTGTTTTAAGGCACTCTCTTAACACAATCACTTCTCAAAATCTCTCTCTCTCTCTCTCCCTCTTTATCTCTATTCACCAGAGAGAAGTGCTGCATGCAAAGCCTTCTTCACTCTCTTCAAACGCTTTGTCTGCAATAACAGGAAGAAAAAAAATGTCACTCTTTCACACATAAGTGGCATCCACTCTAGAGTTCTAAGATGGGTCTGCTTAGAGTTTTACGTTTGTGTATACTCTGTTTGGTTTTGTTACTACTGTGTTCATTCACCAAATGTGGTGGTTCAGATGTTTCTGTGAAATTCTTAAAGGCCCCTCATGCATTCTCTCACTTGAACTCAGCAACATTTGCTTTTGAAGTTCTTAATTGCTCAAACTGCAGTCTCAGTTGCAAGGTTTGTGTGTCTATTGTTGTGTGTGCTCTGATACCATGTAAAGAACCAATTCAACCCAAAAGCTTAAGCTGTTGGGTAAAACTATATTAATGGTTTTATATATCTCAACATTTCTAATGGCCCCTTAATTTAGAAATTTGCTACCCAAGTTTGTATGTTTTTTCTTATATATATATTTATTTGTTGTTCTTCACTAATTCCCTTGATTAGTAGAGAGCTTAAGTAACATACCATATATGCAGGTGGATGATGGGATCGCATCAGTTTGTACAAATAGAAAAGTTACTTACTCAAGCTTGCGTGATGGAAATCATACTTTTGAAGTCTGCACCAATGGGCACCAAGGACTTGGATGTGCTAACTACAACTGGACTGTTGGTTAAGAAACCATACTTTATTCCTTATGCTTGTTATTAATTCGTTATCACTTATGGGATTTGGTCTCTTTTAATTGCTTACGTGTCGTTGATGAATCATGTCTTGTGCCTTTGGAATGAAAAAGTTAAGACTATGTTTTTTTTTCTTCTAAATAATGTAGCATAAAATACAAGAACAATAATGTTTCAAAGTTTTATCAGCTTATGTCACAAATATGATGGGCAGAATCAGTGTTCCCATTTCGAGTTGAATAGTAAATTCACCTCAATGCATAACTAGTTTTTGCCTGCATCTTCATCTCTTGAAAAACAAGTTCACAAAGTCATGGCAATGAGGGGAGCAAGATATATTGCTTTAACTTTTCTGTCTGAGGGAATTGAGTTTCACATATAAATTTGTTTTTCATTTGATACCAGTCTAATAAAAATATTTTTCTTTTTTTTTCAGATACAATTCGCCCAACAGCATATGTTACTGCCCCAACATCTTTCACAAGTTCTTTAAATGTTTCAGTAAATATAACTTTCAGTGAACCCTGTATAGGTGGAGGAGGTTTTGGATGCAAGTCTGTGAATGCCTGTAATGTAAGTAGGTGGACATCTACAATTTCTTAGATTTCTCAAATTCTGATTTTTTTTTTTTTTTATGTATCAATTGCATCATTAACTTAGATTATGCCTACTAGGGATGTGTTTAGCCCCCCCTCCCAATAATCCTGCCATGTGATTTTTCCCTCTCCCTCATCGAGATTCCCCTATTCACTTATCCCCTCCTAGGTTGTAGGACTCCTATTGTAACCCAACAAAATAAAATTAAAAAATGAAAACTTCTAATCATGACATTGTGTTTCTTGTTTAACACTACTATGTCTTGTTTCCACAAACTGACATATTTTTCAAAAGAATCAGATTTATATAGGGGTTCAACCGACAAAAAAAAAGGGTTTTGAACACATGTTTAATGAATAAGAATTTCTTCTAAGTTTTCTCTGTTGTGATAATGGAAAATACAAAAACCATATTATTTAGCCAGAAACTATAAAAATGCATAAAATAAGGTGGAGTGGGTTCTTGAAGAAGTAGTATTATGTTAACATAATACTCAATCAGTTTTTAACATATTGCTATTATACTTCTTTGCAGCTTCTTGTCTATGGAGCTGGCCAGGTTATACCATCTTCCTTAAGCATTTTGCAGCCAAACCTCATGTATTCTCTTCTCGTTAGTTTGTCCTCTACAGTTCAATATGGCAGGGCAATCCTTGTAATGGATAAGAATTTCTGCACTGACATTGCTGGTAACAACTTTACAAGAATGCCAAATTCAAGTGTTTACATACATTTTGGTGAGTGCTTATCTTTTATTATGTCTTATTGGTAGATATCTTCGGCTATTCCTGACATATTATTTGTATGATTACTTTATGGATATGCTTGTGGTGTTTGTGGCCTGATCTTTTATACACGTGCTTGATTTTTAATCCAATAGAATTTAACAATGTTAGTGTATTATGAAAGAACAAATTTCTATCGGTTTTTCATGTTCAAACACTTGATTTCCATCTATGTTGGGTATGATCTACAGACAGAAGAAAGGTTTATGTAAACCTCAGGACTCCTGTAACTGAAAAGCTACTTCAACTTGGGAGTGAAACTAGAACAGTACAGGCAACTAATGACTATAACAAGCTAAAGGTGTATTTGTACTTCTCAGCTCCAGTTCTGAATTCATCCTCAGAAATTATGAATTCTCTCAAAATTAGTCAGGGTTCACTTCTTCCAACTAGTGCAGAAAGTCATGGAAATCGGAGATTTGGATTCATGGTTAGTTGATTCATATATATGACCTTTTCTAATTGTGTATATCTTATGCTTAATCCAAGTGTATCTCTTCTCCTTACACTTTTACTTTTTGTTTGTTGGCCAATTCTTATGTTTCAGATTGCTAATATCTCCTCTACTGCTATAATCTCAGTTGACTTCAATTCGGAGTCTATAATAAGCAGACAAGGGACTCAAGTTTCTCCAATTGCACCAGTTACTTTCCTTTATGGTACATGTTATCCAACAAGAGAACACTATTTAGTTCTTATGCTAAGATACACACACATATTTCTTTTGCTTTCATACATTGTTGGGCTGAGAATTTTGAGATTCCATTGCTCTCTGCTGACGTAGCCATGTATGGAAATTAGATTCTAGGAGACCTGCTGTGATGTTGAGTACATATAGCATGAGGACAAGAGAACACAATATCCAGATATTAATCAAATTTGTGAAGCCTGTTTTTGGCTTCAATAGCTCTTGCATATCAATTTCAGGGGGTTTATTAAAAAGGCAAGTATTTTTTAGATGTGCATTTTCTGTGATAATGTGTACTTTTACATGCCTGCATGTGTAAATCTCTGTATCTCTCTATATGCATCATCTAAAAATAGAGAACCATGGATAATTCCCTGACATTATATTATGAAAAAGCTAAAAGCCAGTTGATAATTGATTCTTTCTCTTGCAACTTATGTCTAGCTTCCATGAAATAAAGAGGAGCACATACGTTGTTGAGCTACAAGCAAATGATGATCTAGTATTTGTTAGTGTTCCTGAGAATGTAACTAGTGATGTTGCTGGAAACAAAAATCTGGCTTCCAATGTTCTACAAGTGAGGCACTGTAAGGTTTTCTAATTTTTATTCGTTTAATTTACTTTTTGGTGATTGTGTTGTTATTAGTACTGATATTACATTTTGTCTGTCTGATGATCATGCCTAATCTATTGTATATTATTATATTGTTTTCCCTTTTCATTTATTGGGATGCAAGTTTTTAAAAAAATTGCCATCCATAATTGTTAAAACATATTTATGATTTCATGAATCGTGCAGACTCTGTACCTGTGATTTCTTCTGTGGTTTCTGCATTTACAACTGCTTCTTTTGTGCTGACATCGATTGCTGCGGGACTGCTTACTATCGCAACTGCAAGCCTTCAATCTGTTGGTACATTTATGAGATCCTCCTCTTTCTTGATCGTTGATCCAGCAAGGAATCTTTTTGTGAGACACCTAACTTACTTGAATAATATCTGTCTAACCAGTTACTACCCCAATCCATGAATCTAAGTGCAATTTACACATGTTTATGTAGTGAATTGTTGTTTAAAATGGAGAAAAGCAGTAGTATATATGAATTGAATATTTTGGCTAATAAGTATTTGATTTATATTAATGATTTAACTGTTTATTTTTTATGACTAAACAAACTGAAGGTTTCAGTGCCCGGTTGTCTGTGTTCACTTCCTTCCCTCTCACAACAAAACAGAAATCATAGATCATAGTAGAGTGTTTTTTACATTCAAGGCTAGAGATCAGTGTTTCTTCTTCCTGTGGAAAGAATGTACTTGATCTCTCTAATTTGTTTAGAATTTTGGTTAACATATGAAATTCTTTTCTTTCAATATCTTGAACTTTTAGTTTTCTTTCAACTTTGTAAATATTTATGCAGATTGCAAAATACCTTATGTTTTGGTAGTAATTATGGTGAGAATACCACATTGATGAGGTCAATTTTGTTAATCATGCAGAGAATTATGTGCCATATTCAGGTCTTTGCACTATCTAGATGGTTAGCAGTTAAGCTGCCTGTTGAGTTTTTTGAATTTGCTAGACATTTGCAATGGACCATACCCTATTTTTCTGTGCCATGGGAAGATGGAAATATGAACATGTTCATGGTAGGCACTAGTCCTTTTGGGAGCTCTAATTCCTTCACCAAAGCTTCAGCAACAATCACAAACACACTGTTTGACAAGAGTTTGAGTTTCACCGCTTCAGTGTATGGATCCCCTCTTACTTCTTCAGAGTACCAGCAATATTTTGAGGTTAGAACAAATTAATTTTATCAATACTGCTGAGCAAGTTAATTTCTTACCAATATTAATGAAAAACGGTCAATATCCTTACTTAACGACGCATACATGCAGAGCCAATATATGACACCAGAAGCTGAATATATTTTGGATTCACAACATTCTAGTGGGTAAGTTATACTTGTCAATACATCATAATATTATTTATATTTATGAAATTATAGCTTTAATTTCCATATGAAGAGGTCAAAATTAGGATGTAGATACCAGAACACCAATACTTTAGCTCCTCTTTTATGCTTATGTGCGTATGCTACTAAGATCTGTCAATCAATATTGATAACTTACTGTAATGGTATCTGAAAAATTTGCAACTTAGTAGAGCATGCTTTGCTTGTCAGAACATGCTTTCCTAGCTTTCAAAGACAGGTCTAAGAAAGGAAGTTGTGCAAATAAGCATTGCTGCAAAGATTATCCGTTAGTATGTTTAATTAGATTAAATCAGATATTACAAAATTTAAGTACAGGAAATGCAAATTTGAAGATAAAATGTGGTGCTTTAACTATCATTTTACTGATACAGTAATCCAAATTTTATTAAATAAGTAGGGAACATAATGATTTGTAGTATCTTGAACTTGATGCATTTTTTTTAATCTGCGAACAATAATAGAAAGGCACTCCTTCAGATAAATCAGGACACAGCCTCTGCTTTCAGATTATAATTAATTTATTAATCTAAGTATTCAAAGTTCAAATGCTGCAGCGATATTTGCTAACTTATATAACCTACTATCAGATTGATTGTTTTTTCTTATAGATGGACAGATTTTTATAGAAGCATGTTTTGGTTAGTTGTGATCTGTGGCGGATTGATGGTTCTGCATGCTTTTCTCCTCATTATCCTGAAATTTGGGAAGAGAAATTCTGAGAAGCATAGAATATATGGAGCACTCACATTCCCAAGATTTGAGATATTTCTTTTATTTCTTGCACTACCTAGTATTTGCAAGGCCTCTGCTGTCCTTATTAGAGGTAATCTTAATGTTATTAATTGTCACCGAACCAATTCAACCCAAAAATTTAAGCTATTGAGTGATGGCCTCTTTAATAGTTTATATTATTCTCTAACATGCCTCCTCACAAGAGAGCCTATTGGGCTTGAAAGATGATACATCAGGTCCAGCCTACCTTGCTAAGAAATTTCATAAAGAAAATGAGGGGTGACGAAGATTGAAACCGGGACACCGAGGCTCTGATACCATGTAAAGAATCAATTTGACCCAAAAGCTTAAGTTTTTGAGTGAATTGGTTCTTTACACATATAAAGAACCATTTTAACCCAAAAACTTAAGCTATTGGGTGATGACCTTTTTAATAATTTATATTATTATCTAACGGTCACCTAACCATTTGTGAACAATAATATTTGAGACCAATAACAAAAATAAAGGATGTCAGGTCCGGTTATTAAACATGTAATCAATATTAGCTGTTACTAACCATTTGATGTATGACCATAGGGGGAGCTCCTTCAGCAATGGCAGTTGGCATTCTTCTGCTGGTTTTTGTGTTCATTATGCTTCTAGCATTGTTCTTGTTCCTCTCGGTTGGAATTACATATGGGAGATTGCTTCAGTACAAGGAAGTTCATCAAGAAGGTGAGACATTTCACTGGTATCAAGAGCTTGTGAGAGTAACTTTGGGACCAGGTAAAAGAGGCCAGTGGACATGGATAGAACAACCTAAATCTGTTTATCTAACTATCTTTGGCCCTCTATTTGAAGATTTAAGAGGTCCTCCTAAGTACATGCTTTCACAAATATCTGGTGGCAATCTTCCAAGTCAAAGTGGAAGCATCATTGCCTCTGATGATGAAACAGAAGATGCAGAAGCACCTTTTATCCAAAAGCTGTTTGGGATTCTTAGAATATACTATGTGCTTCTTGAATCCATAAGGCGGGTTTCGTTGGGAATTTTGGCTGGTATCTTCATTCAGAGTCAATCTTCTCAGAGTCCAGTAATTATTATGCTGTCAATATCCTCTTTTCAGCTATTTTTCGTTGTGCTAAAGAAACCCTTTATAAAGAAAAAGGTTCAGTTAGTTGAGATTATCTCACTCACCTGTGAAGTTGCTTTATTTGCTACTTGTTTAGTGCTCTTGAAGAAGGAGGATCTTTCTGTGAGAACTGAGACTAAATTTGGGATTTTTATGCTTGTGCTGTTCCTAGTGGGGTATTGTTCTCAGGTTACTAATGAATGGCATGCTTTATATGTACAAACGAGGCTGCTAGACCCTGAGGAGAAGTCACTCTTAACAGGTTTGAAAATTGCTTCCATTGGTTTTCTTCTTTATTTCATCCCTAAAAAATGCATCAAAAACTTGGAAAAGAGGTTACCACAAAATGGACATGGAAATGAAGAAACTCGAGATACATCTTTGGGATGTGATCAGTACCGGCGCTCAGGCAGCAGAAACTCAGGTACACCTGAGCAACTATGGGTGAAACAGTTGAGGGAACTTGCAAAGGCTAGCTTTGGTAGGGAGAGAAGTTCAGCTCCAACTGATCCTTCCACTAGTGGCACTACTAGATGGAGTGGGTTTTGGGGAACCAAAAGGAGTGGGAGCTCTTCTTCTGATTCCAAGTCAAAACCAAATACATTGTACGAAGATTTGGAAGCCATTTTTGCATCCAAGTGAAAGTCATACAAAAAACGTAGTTAGAGTTTTATGTAAATAAAACAATGGGAATTATATATCTCCTGTAACGCCTCGTCTGCAGCCGGTTAATTAACATTTATATGATAGTAAGCGTAACATGCTCCACTTAATTAATGTGGAGCTAACTAAATAAATTTTCTCCTTTTCTTTATGTATTGCAAACCTTTTCACTTCCATGGCCAAAATAAAATGGACAGCATTTCCTCTGTATTTTGGACCACTGGAGATAATTCTCATCATGATAATCTTAACCTGATTGACAGTTTAATATAATCCAGATATAAACCATATTACCCAGCCATCCATGGCATCATAGGCTATGTCATAATCATACTGTCTCAAAATAATGTCCATGATGTTACTTATATAATTACATCAAATAAACAAAAGAGATGCAAATAAATAAGTAACATAGACCTGAGCATGCATAACTAACAGCATATACAGACTATCGACATGGCATAGACATCTCCTATGCTCTAAAAAATATACATGGCATATACAACTCCAAATAAAGTATGTAAGGTACAAATCTAAATATCCACATGACCCTGACAATCATGTCAAGTAGTATCCCTCATCGGCCCTCTAGTTACGCGATGCCTCAGCACCATCAGCTCCTGTATCTGAAATGGTAATCCCCACGACGCGGGGTGAGATAATATAATTACCTCAGTAATCTAGGGACCCTTGGAGGGCTCCTCCACCCCTAAGCTCACTTCTGGTATAAACACAGTATAAAAATTCATGCATGCATCAGAATATGTATGACAATGCAGTGTGCAATAATGTAATCCTACTGGCCAGAGAAATATGACAAGTATGCATTATGCAATGAAACACCGTCTTGCAACATAACGTATGAGGAAACACCGTCTCATACTATGCATTAGGAAACACCGTCTTGTGTGGCACACAAACATGCATACATATACATGCAACATATAACATCATTTTCACATATCATATCAAACTACCATCCTCCCTCGGAGTCTGGTGGAACAAATGGGGGATTAACTCCAAGGACCGAAAGCTTACCTGGCAAGCAGCGTCCTACAATAATTCTCGTGTCCACAGAGTCACGATCTCTCACAAAGTCACAACCTAGTTCCAAGATGTGAAGACAATCAGTATTCCTATATACCAGTCTACCACGTTTAATTTTTAAGACTACACATACAAGAAACCTACACTTGATTTTTAGTCCAATTTATCAAAGTGTCCTAAATGGCGATTTCATAATTTTTCCTTTTACGGGAACCAATCCCAAGCATGTTTAACAAAGGAACTCACCTACAAATCACTCTCCAACTACTCATACCATTTAATCCCAATTTATACAACCTTATATCATGCATTTTCTCCAAAAACACAAGAGGAGAGTTAGGGCATTTACCTTAAAAGCTTCAAATCACTAAGAGAAAGACAATCCAAGCCTTCAAGCCAAGAAAAACATCATTTTTCTCCTCTTGTGAACAGTACCTGCGACCTAGAGATGTAGAAATATTTCAATATAATGACTCCCAACTAAAACTAAGCTATGGGTTTTGTAGAGGATGAAATTTGACACACTTTAGGCTTTGGAATGGATTGATTTCATCAATCATAGCTCAAGTTATCAAGGATTGAAGATTTCTCAAACTTTCCTTTTTTTTTTCTTCCTTTGCTCTCTGTCGAGTTGAAGCGCTGAAGATGAAGAAGAATAGGGAGCTTTAGGTACTTAAGTGATTTAAATAAACCCAATGGGTATAAGCTCATCTATCCTGCTCACTAAACTCTCATTCCAACTTTGCACACTAGTCCAGAATATTTTTATGGTAATATTTTTAATTTTACTTTTCACTTTAGGGTAACTTTATTTACCTGCATTTTTACCCCTTAACTGTCATTTTAACTCATTTTTCATCAGAGGTGACTTTATTTCTTTTTCTTCTATCTTCCTTATAATTATTCTTCAATATTATGATTAACATCATCAATTTATAATTAAATCCAGCACTACATGTGAGGGTTTTTATATCTCCTAATGCAGGAAATGTTTCATCTTATGCCATAGACACAAACACATTTGGGGCCATTGTTTTTATAAAAAAACAAAATAAAAATAAAAGTGTTGTGCGATTTTCGAACTGTAAGTAAGAGATGAATAAATCTTCCTATAACATTATTCTCCCATAAACAATATATATCATTATTTTTAGCCTCTTGCCCTAATTTGTTTATACCTGTTGAATATCAGGACACAATAGGTTTGTAAGCAATCCATGTATTTCAACTACACAACGGAAATTCTATTATATAACTGAAAGAAGAGGAATTACAAAAAGACTTACATGATGTGGGACTTCTAAACTATTATTTACAACATTTCCCCTCAAGCTGGAGAATATAGATCATATGCACCTAGCACCAAGCTTGTTACATATGTAATCTATCTTAGATCCTCTCAAAGACTTAGTGAATACATTAGCTAATTGATCATTTGAATTAACAAAATTCGTGACTATATCTTCTAAGAGGACTTTTCCCTAGTAAAATGACAGTCTATCTCAATGTGCTTGGTACTTTCTTGAAACATTGGATTTGAAGCAATATGCAAAGCAACTTGATTATCGCAAATGAGAGATGTTGGGCCAATGTCTCCAAACTTGAGTTCCTTCAGTAGTTGTTTTAACCAGATGAGTTCACAGCTGGCCATGGCCAAGGTAGTCAAGATCGCGATTTTACTTAAGATTGGAAGGGGGTAACAAGATCGTAAATCGTGGGATCGGCGCGGATCGTAAAGATATTACTAAAGGAAATTTTAGCAACAATAAAAAAATTTATGCATATAAAATAACATTTATCTCACAACTTAAGTCCTAAAAGACAATTAAATCTTCAAATATTAAAGAAAACTTCAAAGCATTCAAAATAAAAACATCATCTTAGCATGGCATCTCCAAAGTTGAAAACATTCAACTTGAGTCACAAATACAAAATACCAAATAAAAACATCATCTAGCATGGTATCTCCAAAGTTGAAAACATCCAACTTAAGTTGCAAATACAAAATACCAAATCACCAAAACCAAAACAAAATAGTTCAAACTTAATCTATCAAAGCATTCAAATCACAATCATCATCTAGCATGGGCATAGCATCTTCCTCTCAATCTTCAGAGGCTTATACATCAAAATTTGGTAACTCCAAATCATTTGAAAGCTCAACCATGGTTTCATTTTGAGTTGGCACCAAGTTGTCTACATCTAAGTCTTCAATGTTAGATGGACTTTCATCATTTTTCGCTATCCAATCATCATCAGAAGAAATATCATCAACACTATACTCATTCATTTTTCTAGCCACCTTCTTCTTAGCCAATCTTGAATTAGCCATCAAATAAACAACATCATTCATAGTCTTTTGTTTCAAACGATTTCTTTTCTTTGTATGGACCTAAGCAAATATAAAAACAATTAATACAAAGTTCATTCTCGAAAAGAAATTCAATTCATATTTCATATTCAAGAAAGTTTACCATCTCAAAGGCACTCCAGTTACACTCACAACTGGAGGAACTGAATTTCAAGCTCAAAACACAAACAACAAATTTTTGGAGCTCTAGATGTTCATCCCTATACGACTCCCACCATTCTGCTGGAGTTTTTTTTTTCTTAATAGCAATCTTGGCTATTGGATTACCAAAAAAACTTCCTTTGATACTTGAAATCTTCAAGTTGCGCATCAATCTTAGATATTTCTTCTATATCCCCCACCATCCTTTCTAAGCATTAATATAATCCACGTTTCACTTCATAATCAGCTCTAAAAGAAGAATTATAATGTAATTGCAAGTTAAGGTAATAGCTTGCAGCATGCAAAGGACAATGAAGTTGCATGTTCTATCTGTCATCAATGACTTCCCACATAGGCAAATAACTAAAGAATAAAAAAAAATTGAATTAGTTTAGAAATAAAAAACTATAAATTTAAAATTTAAATCAAACTTTACAATTTACCCTCTTGCGACGCCGTTGAAGGCAGGAACAATTCTCTCTTTAGCCCGATCAATCTCCTCATAAATGAAGCCCATGGCTAGCTTCTCATCTAAATCAACCATATGGAGCACCCTGACCAAAGGATAAGCTCCCTTCAAGCAAGTAATAATATTTTTCCAAAACTCCTTGTCCAAAACCACATCTTCTATAAGCTTCCCATCCTTGTCTTTGCAAACCAGCTAGACTTCCATTCTTTGGAGGTGAACATCTGAATCGATGCTCCTTTATTATCATGGAGGTACCCCAAAGTTAGGTAAGATGTGGCAAAACGAGTCATGGCTGGTCTCATCAAATATTTTCCTTCAGTGAAGCGGTGCAATAAAGTAATCAAAGAAGTTCTTGAATAAATATATGTTGTGATTTTTTTCCCCTGGAATAGTTTGATGGCGAACCGGTATCCTCTTCTCCAAATCCTCCAACATTAAATCAATGCAATGAGCTGCACAAGGTGTCCAATGCAATCTCTTTCTTTTCTCCATTAACATCTCTCGTACAACTTTGTAATTTGCTCCATTGTCCGTCACCACTTGAATAACATTCTCTTCACCAACCTCTACAACAACATCATCAATCATCTTAAAAATTTTATCAGCAGTTTTAGATATTTCAGATATATCAATAGACTTAAGGAACACATTTCCCTTAGGGCTGTTCACTAAGAAATTTATGATAATCCTCCTTCTTTTGTCGGTGCACCCATCTATCATTATTGAGCATCCAAATTTCTTCCAATAAGCTTTATGTTCTTCAATATTCTGCATTGTTGAATCATATTTTTTCTTCAAATATTTAACTATGATCTCATGGTAGGATGGAAGCTTGAATCCTGGACCATGTTTTGAAACTGATTCAAACATTTTATAGAATTCCTCTGTCCTTGCCACATTGAATGGAATAACATTATTGTACAAAAAGAGCCAATGTCTTCATATGCTTCCTCTCTCAAATTCTTCTTGAAGATGCTATTTATTGTAGCTTGAGTGCTCACTCCTTTTTTTAAAAAAATATTTTCATCTCCCCCACTATCTTCTTCATTATGTTTTCTTTTTCCACCAAATTCATTATCATCATCAACTTCTGTGAATGTGAGTGATTTCTTCATTAGTCTCTCTTGTAAAGAAGATACAATTCCAAACATTATTTTTCTC